TGTATTTATTTACACTTCTTTTCGCTACCAGCGAGCGCAGGGGTAAGTTTCCGCTGTTCTCCATATAAATTCTTCCGGTTTCTCTCTATTGTTCGCGGTCAAACATATTTTAAATAAATTCCAGAGGCCATCAAAGATCTTTGCATAAATTTTTCTAAAGATAATAATTTTATGACTTAAAGTTAATTATTTGCCACAAGAGATTTTTAGGTTATATAAGATTATCATTCGATTCTTTGTGCATCCGTCAAGATTGAAATTGTTTGCTTTAAATTAGAAATACCGTCCTTGGAAATTTTCTTTATGGTCATATTTTTGATAGATGCAAAGTTGTGCAAAGCGGTTAGCAGGTAGGCAATAGAATTTTACGACGTGGAAATCGTTTCCAGATGTTGAGGATACAAGATGGTCTATTCGTAACAAGTGTAGTCCTAAAACTACTATGCTATCGCACGAAAATTCACAATAAAGTATGTACATATCTACCTAGTAACTGAATGTTGGAAACTTTCTCTTACTTGACTTAGTCTTGGTGTTAGAACCTCGATCTTTTATAGATAACTATCGTTTTAAAATATAGAATAAAGATTAATTTATAAGTACGCAGAAAATTTTTATGATTTTATATATTGTGTTCTTATGTACATGTAAGTGATGTAAGTGATGTATACGTTAAATAATGATCTAAAAAGACAAATTTGTAACGTAATTGTCTGTTTCTATATTTAATATTGTTTGGGAAATATCAACAAGTATTACTGAATGACATTATGTACGTATCAACGATATTGTTTTACGATGTAGTTTGGCATCAAATCAGTGTAAACAATGTAAGTGGATATATCGACTGTAGAAAAGTATGTACTTTGCAAAGAATGAACGATTTCTTTAATGTCCTTTACCATCTTTATCATTTCCATCACTACCGACTCTACTACCATAGGCAATTATTTATTAACATATAAATGTGGTAATTTAAATAGTTATGCTTTCTAGTATCTCTCTTAATTATAGGAAATATAAAAGGATTTCTATCTTTTTCCAAGTGGATAAAACACGATGTTTATTCTCACTTAGTCTGGTACTATCATATAGTATCAGAATATTATAATAGGGACTTTAATTTACTACATTGAACTAGTAATCTTATAGTAACAAATTGAGATGTTTGGTATGCAGTTATTTAATTATTTCCGTTAAAAACGCGGTAAAAATTAGTCATGGAAAGTGTTAGTTTTATACAATTGAAAATGTTGAAATAATAATAATAGTAATAGAAAGCTATTTTAATTGTTAAATTCATGAATTTTTAATACTATTTCTAACTAATATTTATTGTGTATATATTTACTTACTGAAATTTAGGTTATGTTATTAAACATGACTGAAAAGCAAAAGGTATTACTGTGTGGAGATGTAGAAGGACATTTTAAATTTTTATTCAACAAAATTGATGCTATCAATAAGAAAAGCGGACCTTTCGACTTTTTGTTATGCGTGGGAAATTTTTTTGGCGAAGACAACGCGGAGCTTGAAGACTATAAAAGTGGCATGAAAAGTATACCAGTTCCAACTTATATTATTGGCGCTAACGAGGAAGTTGATTTAGATAATTATCCAGATGTTGATGGTTGTGAAATTTGTCAAAATCTTACTTATCTTGGAAAACGTGGGTTATATACTGCTAGTTCTGGACTTAAAATAGCTTATATCAGCGGTACAGAAAATAACTCGTTGAAAACAAAACCTACTTGCTTCAATGAAAATGATGTAATGTCAATTAAGCAAGCTTGTTTAAAAGGTCAACCTAGTTTTCGTGGAATTGATATATTAATGACTTCACCCTGGCCTGCTTATATTACAAATTTAGATCCTAATAAACCAAACTTGAAATATCAGGGTTCAAAATTAATTGCATGGTTGACTGCCCAAGTAAAACCAAGATATCATGTATCAGCGTTAGAAGGCATATATTACGAAAGACCTCCATATAGGAATCAAAGTCTACAAGAAGGAAATACTGAAATTGCAACGAGATTTATAGCACTTGCTCCTGTAGTGAACAGTCAAAAAAGGAAATGGTTATACGCATTGAATCTGACTCCTGTTGACCGGACACGTTTATCCGAGCTAATTATGAAAACTACAGATGAAACAAATATTCCATATCCCAATTCGATGCTATTAAGTGAACCATCTCTACAAAAATCAGAACAACCAAAGCGTACACAATATTTTTATGATATGGAATCTCAAGAAACTACTAAAAGATCCAAATCTTACGGTGGCATTAATAAAAAAGTAAAACGAGAATTTGATCAAACAAAGTGCTGGTTTTGCTTATCCAGTCCTGAAGTTTCTAAGCATTTAGTAATATCAGTTGGGATAGAGGTATATGTTGCACTTGCTAGAGGTGGATTGGTTGAGAATCATCTCTTAATTCTACCAATAACGCATCACCAAAGTCTTTCTATTCTACCAAAAGAAGTAAAAGATGAAATTGAACAATATAAAGACGCTATAACCAATTATTATGCAACTTTGGACAAAGTACCTGTTTTCTTTGAACGTAACTTCAAAACATCTCATTGTCAATTACAAGCTGTACCTATTCATAAAAATCAAGCAGCAGCTCTGAAAGAAGCATTTGAGGTAAGCACTTTTATTATGATTGCTTAGATGTTGTAAAAATGTAGATATTATATGCTATGATTAGTAGATATTAATAATACTTTTGTTTTAGGAGATGGCACAATGTAATAATTTTAAAATATTGGAATTACCTCCACACACTGATTTACAGCAAATTGCACAACCAGGTGTTCTATATTTTTATGCAGAGTTGCCAGATAGACAAAAGTTATATCATAGGATAAAGAAAGACTTTCCACTTCAGTTTGGTAGGGAGGTATTAGCTTCAGACAGAATATTAGATCTTGATGATCGAGTTGATTGGAAAGATTGTCAATTGAGTCAAGAGGAAGAAATTGAGTTAGCAAAACGAATTAGAAGAGATTTTCAACCATTTGATTTGGATACTTAAAGATGTACAAAAGTTTAAGATATTAATACTATAGTAGGCATATATATATATATATATCTGTATATCATGGTTTCTGAAAAATATATAAAGATATTAATTTATTATCCTGTAAAAGTAATGAATAAAAATATTGTTATTAATTTACAATTTTATTCCTTATTATTATGTACATAATCTTTTGGAACTGCAGCTGGATCTAATCCACTTAGTTTCATTTGTAGAGCTATGTCAAATAGGTAATCATAACATTCCGTCCTAAATAGAGAAAGACATATAATAGATGAAAACAAAAAATATATTTAACGCATTAATAATATTAGTATTAAATTAATACACACATAGTTTTTGCTTGTTGCCATGTATCTCCCCAAACATAAACACCATGTCTTCTTACTAATACAGCACAAGTTTCTGGATAGGCAATGATAGCTTTTTCCAATTCATCTTTTAAGTCCTCTTCAAACGGAGTATTTTCTATTATGGGTACCACTAATTCTTCGTCGTAACGATATGCTTTTCCCAATTTTTGATTCCTTATGCCTACATTATATAATATCGATATATTTTCATAAATAAATGAAAGAGTATATACATATATATTATAATTACAAATACATGTAATAATATCATTATCATTTTATACCCTTTATCATCTCAAGATGGGTAACACGAAATTCTTTCCCAGGCCAATGTAATGTCACCATTACAGCAAATTTTGAATGGGTATGAATTACAGCTCCAGCATTTCTCCTTATATATGCACACATAAATAACGGAGTGCATTGAGATTTCTTCAACTTTTTCTCTACTGGTGGCAGTTCTAAATCATTTCCACTAATATCTTGTACAAACATTTCATCCGGACAAATGCGTTCTTTCTGAACACCGGATGGGGCAATATAAATTTTGTCTCTATAAATATAATTATTATTTTATATTAACATATTAATTTTAATATATAATATAAGAAGACAATATTATTTACTTGTGTTTAATAGATATTCCTCCACCAGTACCAGTTACCCATCCTAGATCATAAAATTGTTTACATAGTTCAGGAATTAAAATTCGTGGATGTTCCTGTAAAATAATAAAAGTATTAAACTTATACATATTGAAGTTATAATATCTATCTGAATAATTATTTTTAAAAAATAATTATTTTAAGTAGTACCTTGTCGTATTCGGTATAATCTGAGGACATCTTTAATTATTCTGAAAAATTTCGAACTACTGTGTTGTTTTCTACACACTCATAATCTTATCTATGTACTTTGATCCAGTGATCACGGTATGCGCACGTGCGTTAATGTGTGGGTAATAAACTTTTGATAGACCTTAAATTATTTTTTCCTAGATCTAGTTAGTCTTAGACCTAGTTACTTTGACTGCAGTATATATCTGTATAAATCATATTCATAGTACAAATACGATATAGTGCAAATCTTAATTAATGTTAAAATTATCAAGTGCACAGTTTCAGTACTAATATACCCACCTAAATACATGCATAATTCGTGATATAAGAATACAGCACACAACTAACTGCTATTTTTGAAAATTTCAGCGCTGATTAACTAAATTAATACTAAAGATGTAATGTCAAATCATGTTCATCGATTTCTTCAACTTTTTATTCTCAAGTTAGTCGCATAACCTATAAATGTGTCAAGTATCATGGCTTCATGGATCACAGTGACACCGCGGTAGTATTTAAATCTTTATTTCTTATTAAATCGGTTCATTGTAACTAATGAATTATCTTAAAAAAAAGAAAAATCTAAAATTTGCTGTGAGTGTCGTTTATCAAACATTTTGCTTTTTTTTGTTCGATAAACGACACTCACAGCAATTTTTAGATTCGTAGTATAGTAATCTCATATTTCAGTTATTTTATCTAAATCGGTATTATTTGTTTTAGGCTCGAACGAGGTTTAAAAATAGCAAATCAGGTAGACAACAGTAAATTCCGCTTACTAATTAATCGTATTTGTCAGACGCTTCAGTCTGCTATTGATACAAAAATATTCAGTGAAGAAGAAGAGGAAAAACTATTGGTTTCCTTGGATTTGAATAAGGATGATCTAAATTGCCTTTTAGATGCGATAATATTAATTTACAAACAAGCTACTTGCAATATTGTAAAACCACAATTGATGGAAAACACTTTGAAGGACACTTTTAATACGGATGATGAGAAAATTCAAATATTTTTAAATGCATGGATTACATATAGTAAAGGAATAATCGATCATTTTAGACAGATGTCTATATTTCCTGTTCAGGTATGTCACGATGATAATGACCATCGGTAGTACCTACATGGATGGATGTAGGAAATAAGAACATGCATTTTATACTAATTTATTCTGTTTTAGGTTAAAGACATTGATTGGTGTTTAAATATTCAAGCTGCATCTTCCTCTATTAAAAAAGACGCGCGGCCAATGTCATTATTGCAGTTGAATTTGACAGGAGAAGAGGAATCAAAATTAACAGTGGAATTCGATAAGAAAGAACTCATAGATCTGTATCATAATCTAGAGAAAATACAGTCACAATTGGATGCTTTTAAATAGTATTTAGTTACTACTACTGCTACTACACTCACACACACACATTATATATATATACATATATAGTTATTGTAAAAAAGGTATATATTATATAAAATATATTTTCTAACTTTTTAAGTTTATCATTATATCTTTATTTATTAATACATTTGTTTTACAAGCTAATTTTGATTTTACGATATACTTAGATTTGAAAAGAACAAATTTTACTCATTTTCGGAGATTTTCGTATTCTTTCGATTACTTCCTATATTTTCCAACATGCTCGTATAAATGTGGGCTTCTATTTGGAAGAACGCTATCGATATTTGTTACATTTTGATTTGGCTCAGAAATTTGTATATCTAATTTTGATGGATTTTCGATATACCGTTCGTTGTTAACCTGCGAAACCCGTTTCTTCCCCGACACAGCAACGGTTTCTAAAACCTTTGACGAGTTCCTTATAAATAAACGCGTTTTACAAACTACTAAAACAACTATAATAATCATTAGGAATAAAATCAGGGTCGTCAGAGCACCTACGATCCATCCCAACTTTTCATCTACAACATTGAATTGAAAACAAAATCATATCTATTTTTTTTTTTTTCAAAGTTTGATAGCATAACGAAATCTAATAATACTCACCGCCAAGACTATTTAATAGAACAACTGTTGCGCTTCCTATCTCTTCGTCAGTGTCTGGAACAGTAAATTTGCACATCCAATTCCCTAAATCTGAATGATCGGGTTTGAATTCCAAGGTACATACGCCTGTATGATAATCCATCTGTATATTGTGTCTAAAAAATCAAAGAAAAAAAGAGAGATACAATTTAGGAAGTTCTCAGCTTGGACAATGTTGAATTAAGAAGAAAAGTTACCTTTTCGTTTCACTGATATTCTGAAAAATATGAGTTTTCGGCGCGTGGATCCAGTGGCATTGGACTTTCGATAGCACAGTTTCTACTTTGCACGAAAGAGTGGTCATTTGATGGGGCACAGCCCACAATGCCACAGTCACTGGTTCTAAAAATCATCAATCTTTTCTGTAATCAGTACTTTGTTTCATCGATTCGTTTCTAGCCCAATCACCGAAAGCGTTGATGTCTCTCCTTCGGTAGTGCAGATTCTTCCAGGATCGAACATATATCAACGCGTGTGCATTAAATGTTCACACCGTGCACAAGCAAATTTCACGTGACATATTTTTTGTTAGGGTACAATATGTGAAAAATGTGTCGATGTGTCGAATATGTTCGTTGTGTAACGTGTGTTCACATATGGCAAAGACTATGATACTTAAAATGATTCATTAATGGTACACAATTTATTATACATGTATACATATATTTTCAAAAATATCATTCATTCGGATAGGACGTCTTAAGTTTATTTCGATGGTATATGTATAGCGTACATATGTTAGTATCAAAGGCGATGGGAATGAGAAAGACCGCAATGACGTTTTCGTATTATCATTTATTTAAAGAAATGGTTTACAATGCCGGAGAGACTGATACTCAAGCGCGCATGGAAACGTACGACGATCCACCGATCACATCCCGGTGTAGATTTCTGTATTGTTCACGTTGGCAACTTAACAGTAACTCAATGGCACACGAAGGTATTAATTAGCTTCGAACGAAAGCGTTCTACGTTTGATTATTGCACGCGATGTGTATCGTGTTCCCTATGGATATCCGGGACTCTTCGAACGACAACGTCGCAATTAGAATTCCTTCTTTAATATTGATATCATTTGCTGATATTATTTTTGTGCCTTTAGTAATTACAGTGATTCAAACGTAATAATTATCCTTTCGTAGTGACGGCCTGTCGACCGACGGCAACGACAATGCTACATTATTCGAAACGAAGGTGAACATCTCAAACGGGACGCTTAACAGTAAGAATTGTCTACTTAGAGTTAATTTTAGCATGTAATTGAATATAATGAGTATGTAGAAAGTGCGTATCGTAGTATTTCTAATAAAAAAAAAAACCTGTTTGATCGTGGAGTTTTCGTAATGTCATCGGTACGTTGACTTCTCGTTTAGCAACACGTTGGCCACGGTTCGGCTAACTTGATTCGTTAACGGCCCCGTGACGAGTCTAATCGTTATTAGCACACTGGAGTCTCTTAAACGACCTACTTCGCTTAACAAATAAATATTCGTAGCCTTAAACATTAAAATTTCTACGCGTAGTCTTTTTAAATAGTTACTAGCTAATGCGTCTCAGATCTAACGTTACGCGTGAGAACGAACGAAGAGCACGAACGCTTTTTCCCTGGTTACTCTCTTACAGCAGGGCAATTTGTGGAATTGTTCTGCTGTTCGTCAAAACGTCTCGAATTAATTAGCAACGCTTTGAAAAAACTTCCGAATCCATCGTTTTATCAAAGAAGTAAAAAAGAAAAAAAAAAAAAACAAAGGAAAATAAAAATGAAAAGAGAACAGAACAGGAGAGACAATCTCGAATCGATGGATCGTAAGTCGGCAAACTTCATTGGCGAGCGTTTGTTCAAAGCACTTTCCCTGACTTTCGACAATAAATAATACGAGAAATGACAATAAACGTAGCCAGAATGCTCGCGAAAAGGCTTACACACGCAATACGGTTTCGCGTACTTGCTAACGCGACTACTAACTATGCTAAATGCGAAATCATTTGAGCGTAGACCTGCCGTTGAGCATATAAATAAGAAAGGGTGAATGACATTGAGTGATAGATGTTATTTAACGAGTAAGGTGCGCTTCTTAAGCGTGCCATCGATGGGGATAAAAAGAAACATTACGCTTGAAATACAGTTTAGTGAGCACAGAGACATATTGCATGGTATGCTTGACAAATAAGATAGAGAATTTAATGGCGCGGATGAAATAATTGTTATTAATGGAACGATCTTGCTGGATATATTATTTAGCGTTCCTTTTAACGATACATGTGTCCTATAAGGAAACCGGACAGCATTATTAATCGCTCATTAATTGCCAGGCTTCGATTAGCCCCGAGGCATAACGATCTAATAAATCCTCGTGAAGATTTACCAAGGAATTGCGAGGGAAACAATAATGGATGCGACCGAAACAACGATAAATTAGGACGATCTAATGCTAATCGATGCAAATGCGATATGTGCGGTAACGGTACGCTAGGTAACGAGCAAGGAATCTTATTGTTCGTTGCAAACGTAACAGTGGATTCCTTACAAGAATCGAGGAAAGAAAATGCTAAATCGAATATGATAATCTCATTTAAATAAAAATTGCAGACCGAAGAAACGGATATACTTTTTTCTTTTTTATATGTCTACCTCTTTTACAATATATACGTGATTGATGACTAAATCATAAGTCATCAAGAGAAGTAGACATCATCTATGAGACTCGAAACATCGTACAGATTCCATCACCACCGCGATGCCTTCACCCACAACAGTCTTCGGAGAACTTAGACGCGATCAATTCCTCGTCTACGGTACTAAGATTGATGATCGATCGTTATTTTCGTTCTTTCTACGAATTCCTTTAATCGTGCCCGCGCGGCTTTCAATTGTATATTCTAAGACTTTGCGATACATAGTACAATAGTGCGATCGATTTTTCTCGATGCTTTGAAAGCTAGTCACTGTACCTTTTTTCTACGTGTTTTCCCAGTGACGATCTTCCAAACGATATCGATCAGAAATACTAATGTCCGTTACACGATACATCGTGTATACATTGCAGAGGATGAGTCACTTAATTAGAATATCCGGAAAAACGACTCCCGAATGCCGGAAAAATAACGTCGAAGTCCCCTTCCTTATCCATATTCGTTATTTTCATATATCTACATGTTTAAACAAAAACTGACTGCAAGAGGAATATCAAGTTTAGTTTCGTGCAATCTTTGTCTAACGCAACGAAGCAAAATGAGATGAATAATATGCAAAGATGATCATCAGTATACGGTCACAACGATCGTTAATATCGTGGTTTCATAAGAGATGAATCTCGGCGATGATCGTCATTGATTTTCTCCCGAGAAAGAACGTCATCATTCTTTGTATAAACAACAAAGAACCGACCTTTCTTGGCAATATATGCGACCTTTACGTCCACTCGTTTACAGCCTCGAAAAGCAAATTACACGATTGCCGAGGTGAAAAGTTTCGCTCGACGCCATTATCCGGAAACTCGATTATTTTTCTACAACTTCTTCGTATTTCAAGTTCGAGTTGATCGACTCATCCGTAATTTGCTAATATATACACAATATACGTTGATGCTGTACACTCCTGAGGATCTATGGCCGATCCACGACCACGCCTTGAAGTTGTTGCGAATATCGCGAGGCGACCAGAGATCCATGGATCTATGATCGATTGCTCTTTGTACACCCTCACCCGTGAAAGGAAAGGAATGTCGCGAATCCGTCTCAAGATTCTATGATACCTGGTTCCAGAAGACTCAGCTTGGCCGGAGGTGCATCCGTGTAGTTCTGTTTGCCACGTACCCTGGCGCCACAGGTCCACAATCCTTCCTGTTCCGCGAGTGCGTGCGTCAGCCTGACGCTGCAGTCCCTGGCCTCGCTTCCGGCCGCCGGAAATTGCTTTACCACTACCGTGGTATTCGAGTTTACCGGGGTCAGGGACCATCGACACTGTTCCACGGCCGACGAAGTCACACAATGCAGGAAGACGCTCCCTCCAGCTGATATTTGGATGTCTTGAGACAGCTCCGAGAACTTCACTTCGTCTGAAAATGAAATATAATGGTGATATTTTATTACACGGACCCCATAAACTTTGGTAAAATTCAATACAAATCCATAGAGATGCATTAGGCACGGAATTAGTACCGAGCTACGTAATATAAATATCGAGAATATGGTAATACGATGCAAAATATAACGTAATAAAAATGAAAAACGAGCGAACGATGGAAATGAAATGTCCAGGTAATAATTAGATTGCTGATAGATCTCTGTGTATTTATGGGGTATTTGCATATAATATGCAAAGTACAGTACCCCTTATCTAAAGTATAAATTTACATTAACATCTGTTGTTTAGTAGCAAGAAGGTTAAAACGATAGAAGGTGGAAGAAGTTATGGAAATGATAGAAGGTGGAAGCAAGAAGGACGTTGACGAAAATAAAAATACCTTGCTCGTATACGGTGAGCTTGACGAATGGCGAGGTCAGCATCGTGTTGAGGGAACTGATCGACACCTGACAAGCCCACTGACCCTGTTTTTCGGCGTATACTCGTGGCAACGTGAGCGAACAGTCTCTACCAAGGTCGCCATTGCTTGGGTATTCCTGAGCGACGATTTCTGGCTCGTTTCCGTGAAGTGATTTCCAGGTCCACGTACACTTTTCCACGCGGCTGCTCGTTACGCATTTCAACGTGGCCTCCGTACCAATCGGCACGGAAGTGTCCGACGGCATTTCAACGAAGTTGACTTTGGCTGGAACATCGATCGAGATAAATTGATCGATTAAATCTACGTTATGGTAGATAAACGCGCGAAGAAGTTTGTGCATTGCTTGTTAATTTTCGCGTTCGTTAATTTTCTAACAATATTGGTTTGCGAAAAATTATATATATTTCTAGGACTTGATTTTTTATATTTTACAGAGAACCAGGTGGTATTCATACCCGTAGGTAGGAGGCTAACAGTCGCAGGTGGCGCTTCGTGAAGAATTCCATGCGGTGACAGTCGAACGCCACACGTCCACAATCCTTCCTCCTCGTACAGGACGTTCTTGAATCTCACCGAACAATCATGATCCGCGTCTTTGTTGGGATTGAATTTCTTAACTAACAAAGGTGCCTGACTCGAGTTGGATGCCCTCCAGGACCATTCACATTGTACCACTGGCTTGTTCACCAGACATCTGAGGAGCACCGATTCACCAGGGGCTACTTGAATTCCTCTGGATAATTGTACGAATTCAACTGCGAAAGAAAATTAAAAAATAACGATTTATCGTTACGATATCGAAGAGAATCCTTTAAAGATATCGTTAGAAGATGATAAAAAGAATTCGGATCTCTTACCTTCGGAAATGAGAAATCGAATGGGATTCGACTGCGTGAACGAAGAATTCGGATCGATTCTGCCGCCACACGTCCAGTATCCTTCTTGCTCAGGTAGCACGTTCTTGAATTTAATACTACAATCGGTGCTGTCGTTGCCGAAAGCTGGAAATCGCTTCACCTCGAGGTTCCACGGCTGCGATTGGTTTAACTGCCTCCAGGACCATTGACATTCACGGACAGATGCTTTCATCTGGCACATTATTTGCGCCGAGGATCCTGCTGGTACTTCCACGACGTTATCGAGCTTCGCAAACACGATCAGAGGATCTGGACATTTATAAATATCAACATTCATCTTGCTGTTTCTTACTTTCTTCCTCTTTAATTATTTTCTAACGAATAAATTTTCAGATTCAGGAAATATAACGTAATTGGACGTCGAATTAGAAGGATAAGAAGAGACAATCAACATTCCATACTCTGGTGCTCATTAACGATGCTCAGCTTAGCAGGTTCCGTGCTGGTGAAAGGATCATTCGTGGAAGTTCTCGCGGCGCAGCTCCAGTATCCGGTCTGCTCGTGCTTCGTACTTGAGAATCTTACGGAACAGTCGTTGCTATTGTTCCCGAAGGCAGGAAATTGTCGTACCGGCAGCGGATTGGTAGTCGGCGTGGTTGTCGTCTGAATCACCGAGACCGTGGTGGCTATAAATTATAAGAGAACTTCGATAAATACACCGTACACGAGTGCCGTGGAAAATAACAGAGCTTTATCGAAAGTTTGACTCACGGGCGTTCGTCATAATCGAGACAAATAAAAAATTGTATTATCGATTGTTTTATTCGTAAAGACGAGATATACTTGGAATCGATCGAGCATAAATTTATTCTATCATACTTAAGAAGCTTCAACTTGAAGTATTCGCGACATTGTGATTAGAGTGCGGATTCTTATGCATTTATGCTAAATTTAAAGCTTGTAAAAATCCACAGAATCCGTATAATATATAAAAATATATAAAATATCGGAAGTGGAGTACTCGTCGTAATTTGTAGTACACGAAACAAATTATTCTATAGATTCCATCTCTTTGGTTTCCTTCATGAAAGTACGAAATTGCATAAAAATTCGCAAATGAATAAGAAAATTTCATGGATTTAATGGATTTGTCTTTTAATATGAAAATATATCTAAGGTAACTAACTGGTCGCTGGTGTTTCGCTGATATCCGGAAGTGGCAGGTGAACCGGTGGTAAAGGTTGCCAGGACCACTGGCACTCGGCCACAGGATTAGCGGTTCTGCATGCTAGAAGAACGGACGAGCCGAGTTCCGTTTCCGTGTGCTCCGGAACGTTCACGAATAGCACGGGACTCGGTGGCGCCTTCGTTCCTGGCAAGATATCGTCCATCGAGTGACCCTGAATTTCGGGATCCATAGAAATCGGGCCGATCGTGGTAGCATTGATCGTTGTAGCGTCATTAGACTCTTCTGGCACAGGTACGCCTATCGACAGATCGTCACGATGGAATTCGAGATTAAAAATGAAATTCCGAATTTTGCTAGACTTGTACGGTAACTTGGAGATGTTTAAAGTTCGTTCGGTAAGATCGTGGAAAAAGGAAAGTCGCATATTAAAATGGCTCGTTTGAACATTGCCTCATAGGTTACGTGTTCGAGAATTCCAGAAATATTTTAAATACCGCCACATGTATCGATAATGCGATCACGTTCCTTTGAATTACCAACTGATCTCGCATTCGAAAATTTCTCAAGATATCATCCAGTGGAAGAGTCGATAGAATAATATTATTACGGATTAATTAATCATTTTAGGTAGTGTTATCTGCAAGGTCTCGATAATGTCTGTTGTATTCTTTGCATTATTTAGAAAAACCGAGCCTAGAGGTTTTTATCGTTTAAAGTCGATGAACTTGTTCGATACTTGGTGGTTAAATTTTTGCCAGTTTTGAGAAACCAGAAAAATCGAACAGGCTCCGTGTTCCAACGAAGTGTTCACATCGTGATCCAAAGGAACTCGGTTGAACATATATATATATATATATGTAGGACACATCGGGCAGGAAGCTACGACAGTCACGTAGACAATCGCCTTGCGTCGCGCGTCTGTCGCCATGTGCAAATAGAACCAGGGACGGATCGATAATAAAATATTTGTTAAAAAAGGGAACCACGAAGAATTAGCGTCGTAAAACTCGGCTCGATACACTGTGTCCAGAATACGAAATCGACCGTTCTGTAACACAAGTCTTACAATCTCATTGGCAATCAAATCGAATTTCGATAATTCCTTCTTTCCCATTTCTACCACTTTCTTTTCGATTTTCACTGGAAGTTTCACTTCCACGCATCGATCTTATCTTCCTAGTTATCACAGTATCGTTAGGATCTTCTAATTAACGAGCGAACTCTCATTAAAAAGTTGCCTCGACAGCAGAATCGCACACGTAAAAACTCGATAGAACCATCTCGAAATAGCCCGTATCGTTAATTGTATCGAAAGTCGGCCGTTTTTGTTCGGCGAACGATCACGGTCAAATTTCTCTGAATGAAAGAGCCACCGTGTGCACCGTTCCACACTTTCTACGTGGCCACGGTATGTAATACGCGTCCGTGCCGAACTTGGTCCTTGGTATTGTCTCGTTACGTTCGCCATGTGGCGAAGCTCGTCCTCAAGACGAGCAAAGCTGGTCGCTGACACTGGAAGGTCGTTTCCCACTTTACATTGACATACTCATGGCTGGTAACTGGTAATATAATTTCACTGCATTCAAGGTGTATAAACTTTGGAATTTATAGTAGACACGTAGAGTAGTCGTGTTGATTATATCGTTGATGACGACGATGGTTCCAGTGGTTTACATACATACACAGTGTACGCATTTTAATAGCTACTAATCCGCACTCCTTGATCCAAAAGTTTCTATCTACCAGTAGAAAATTGGAGAATTTTTATCATTTACTTTCTTTTTCTTTGTAGCATCGTTGTTTCTCTTCGTTCGATTAAAAATATTTAGCCATTGTTCTGTAACAGCCTGCGCGATATAATTTTACACAGGAGGCAAAAAGATACGTCAAATATTTTAACGTAATATCTTGAACGAAAAGAGGACGGTATCGTGCAGCGTATTTACAAAGAGTTTATAAATAATTAACGAAAACTCGACGGAATCAGATTGCTTCGGAAACGTAGAAAATATTCTACGTATAGATATTGCTTAATGTTAATAGTAATATCTATCGCAGGGATATTAGAGCTGTAATTTGTAATTAGAGATATACGCGGAATGTTAGACGGTAGTAAACGGAATATCTGAGATTTTCGTTGAAGAACTTTCTCTCGAAATAACAGTGATTTTCATACAATATGTTTATTAAGCCATCGCTTCCTCGTTTCTTTCAAGTATTTAGCACTATTTTATGCGTTTTAAATTATTATTCGAAACTGTGACGTGGCTAATCCGCATCCTTCGTCATTTGACTTTGCTGCAGTGGACTGTGGGAATTGTTACATAAGGTGGTATAGCGTGTGTAGGTGTTACCATCTGATATAATCATATATAAAAACCAACGATAATACTCCAACATAGTTAAATCCAACATAGTTCGTTTCGAACAACTTCGTCAATTACTTATTTAATTCGTTGAACGACTTTGTAAGTCTGTCGTTGGACGGAACAGAGAAATTTGATTATCGTGAATCGTTTTAGCAGACACATTCGTCAAGGATATGAGAAAACTGAATAAACTTTGAAAGGAAAGAGCGAAGAAGAAAAGAAAGAACGGACACGATCGTGCAGCATCTAAGTCACGCCGTATTCATTCAGCCAGTCCAAGGCCACCGTTTACTTTCTTCGTACTTTCTTACTTTCTTCATCGCGTCCTTGGTATTCCGCCACGTAATTTTCGACCGTTGCCCGCCGCGATTCATCGAGGTCCCTTTAATTTTAAATACATTAACAAACAAAATATTCTCCACATCACCTACACCGTCAAATATCAACGCATTTGGTTACACTTATTGGAAAACTCTAACAATTTTCACTCGCATTTGGTATTTTATGTCGTAAAGAACATACGGAAGGTTTTAAGAATCTCAATTTAATCGAGCATTTCAGTCACGTCTTACGAATATCATCTGGTTAGTTTCATATTTAATCAAGTTATAGCTTTATACTTTACGACGATAAGTTTTCGCGCGTCGAAAGAATATATAACGAATTTCTCGTAATAACGAACGCAAAATACCGTTCTGTAACTTACATCGCCATGATTCTTGGCCAATTAAACGACGCTAATGAAATAACAGACTTGTAATAAAATAAGCAGAAAATTACGCGTTGAGATACATTAAATATAAATGGGTATCCTGATATTTATGGTCAGCAGTGAACGTAACGTTCCTTCCATTAATATCATTCGCCAGTTTTACCATACGATACGACCGTTTTGTAGATCGATTAATGATTTAACGGCCGATTAGCCGCGACTGATAACCTTGCCGATTAAAACATCGGCATTTCGAGATTTCGTGCTGGCCCAGGTACGCGTCCCGGATGTATCTTCGCAGGTCTCGCCGTGACTAATTCCACAACAATGGAATCCCATCCCAAGATTATCGACCGTAAGACAAGGCCAGCCGTTTCTTGTGGCGAGGAGTGGCCGCGAGAGAAGCGAACAACGGAGAAAAACGAGGATTCGACCAAGTCGAAGAGGATATCGTTCCGTAATTAAGAACGAGCCGATGGACGCGCAACCACGGTCGTCAACCTTACATCGATGTCTCCGGGAGGACAATTAGAGACACCGGTCGATTTCTTTTCCCACGTAGACGACGTTGTGAAACTCAAAATACGTCCGCTGGGCGTTGCCTTTTTGCAGGATCTACATCGCCATAACCATAGAAATTTCGTTCGTTCACTAAGATATAATACCAAGAGTAATGAAAATATAAATGAGAGAACGAAGATGGTGTGGAAGGGCTGGCGATCGAACGATGAGTCAGAAGGATTGAATTTTGGAAAGTATTTTAGAAAATACTAGTTATATTTATGGTAGACTGGTATGCCAGCAACGTTCTTCAAGAACGTATATTTTAAGAGAATGCAAAAGTTTGACTTGCTGGAATGTTTGGTTAGTATTTTTCGTCAATATGTACCTACTTACGAACGAGAAAAATGTATATTTGCGCCGGGATTTCAAGAAACTATTCTTCGAGGAACGCGTGTAGATAATCGTTCGGTGTAATTTAAAATGGTCCCGGCAAACTTCCAAACGATTATCAACTTTTGACGCGCATACTTTTCAAACGAACTACTTGTTTCTTAACTGTGAAATTGCCATGTAATTACCCTCTGCGAAAATGAACATATGTATTCACGATCAATTTCTTTAACATTGTTAACCTATATCTCATGCTTTCTGCTCGTATACCGATTTCTGTCACATATAGGGCATGCAAATATTATACGGTAGAACTTTGATTATCGCTATTGCAATCACGACGCACAACGAGTGGATATCGACTATTTCAAAGTATTCTAAGATCGATATTATAAAGATTAATAGCTTTTAAACGAAAACGAGACACTCCTTTTCAGTTTCTACTGTTGCTCATCGATTTTTCTTAGAAGGAATCGCAATTGAATCTTTCGTTAATCGAAGTTCCAATTACTGCGTTAATCGGTATTATTATAATCGAAATTCTATCGATCTCTGCCGAGTTTTCCTCGTTACTAACCGAAACCACTCGTGGTTCTATTTTTTCCCCGAAGAATCTTCTTTTTATAAATTATCAAAATCGGAAAATACGTGTTTGCGATTACAGAAGCGTAATTGACGCAAAACTGGCTAGTTGTCAGCGGAACCGAGTGATTTTGCTCTTTCAGAAAGCTCGCAACGTGTCTTATCAGCACGCGTAATTCAACGCACAAGATGAAACGACGTAGTTATACGCTATCACGGTCGTAAAGAGTGGAAAAAGAACGGCTCTAAACTATTCCTGTATTCCTTTCACGTTCCTTCTTTTAGCCGGCTAACGAGCACCAGTGACGTCAGTTTCATTTTCAAGAAACCTTTTCCATTCCCGATGACTTTGAACCGGGATGACGAGGAAGAAATGCTGTTCGAGGAAACGATTGCCATAGCCAGGTTTCCCAGAAAGGTTTCGACCGCGTTCCCAAATCGATGACAACAGGATCGAAGGAGAAAGCTTCTCGACAGTTGCCGAGATAAAAATTGCACGAAAGTTTGTTTCAAAGAAGGATGATTTTAATGATAAACGAGGATGCTTCTGTTCGTTCGACGAATCTTCCCGAGTTTCCTCGTGCTGTAGAGCTGTACGTTAATGCGATGGGATCTCGATTAACCGCGGCTTAATCGACGCCGAGGCAGACCGGTTAAATCGAGACTCGCGGCTATCGAGTTACTTTAATCTATTTTATGTATGCCTCTTTTCGCGTATCGTTTATGCATTGTACAGAGATTATACGTGAAGTTTCTCTGAAAAGTTCAAAGCTCTGTTGCTGATTATATTAAATCTTCGTTATTTCCTTGTCCAAATGAGACGATTCGCAAACGAAGATGGATGATTTCTAAGCGAACAAGGAATTAATCGAAGTGGGTCAAGAAAATACGATAAATCTTCGTTGACTGAAGTTACTTCTTATAGAAGTAAACTCGTGTTTTCTGTAAATCGTTCCTTTTAATCGATTCTATCTATTGTTCGGATCTCGGGATGATGTCTCTTGAGAAATATTACAAAATCAGCACAAGCAGTGCATGTGTTCGATCGATCTATCGAGGTATGTAACTCGAGATATGAGAACGATCGACGATCGTTTATTTCATTGCGATCGGAGCGTTGTCCTTGGCCAGGATTAACCCCGCAATTTATCGAACCTCGTTTCCGTTTCTTCATACGACGCAGTAGTTGGTCACGGTGGTACCAAAAGAAAAATGTTGGTCCCGTAACGAACTCCTTTGGTTCTGCTGTTTCAAGAAGCTGAGCAAACGAAACGTGAAAGTACGAGTCGATAAAAATTTCGTTACCAATTGGTAACGCTGTTTTCGCGGTGCTCGAGATTTCTACATCTTCGATGAAGCCACGTCTCACGGTAAGGAAGGAAAGGAAGAAGGAAAAGTATATAGAACTCTTTAAAGAGCCCAAGGAGCATCTTGCACGCTACAAAAATTAGAGATTGGGAATTAGAGATTGGGAAGGTTCGATCGTCGCTCTTTTGACACCTTCGGATGGTTACAGTGCGCGAAACAACGAGTTGCTGGATATTGCTGCGAGCCGCAGCTGCTAAGAATTATCGCAAATTGTAGTCTTTAGGAAAATATCAAAAAATATGAAAACGGTATTCGTTGAGGCAATGTTACAGGAATTGAAAAATCGAAAATACTAAGAAGAATTGAATTCATGATACAACTGGATTAACATTAATCACATTGTTCGACGTTTAAGAAACCAATACGTAAATCGTATTACGCGATGAGAGAAAATGAAGATCGTCGAATAGATGGAAATAGACGAGCGTTACGTAAAATCGGAGGAAAGAAGATAGTTAGACGAGAGCGAAACGAACGTGTCCATGGAACGCATAAAATTCAGTGGTGTGGATCGTAACGCAGGATCGTACGATAGTTCCCATGCAGGTTCCTACCCTTCCCCACGTGTTTGCATTCCAGAGCGATGTTTCACTAAATGCACGCATTGCATCGAGTTTAACCACCCTCCGCAGAAGAACCAGTTCTTTCGGCTCGTGAGCACGCCGCTCCCTGGCCATGCCGCGAATGCTTTACGAGAACGCGTGTGCAGAGAAAAACGATCGGTAAAAAAATCACCACTGAAATTCCGGGATATCGAATTTTATTAATATCTCACGATCGATATCACGGGCGCAATAATTGACAATCATTTGTACTCGTAAAAATGTTTCACCTTATCGTACTGTTACGCGTTACACGTTTTCGTTTTATATTTTCCATATTTTGAATATCTTTGATATTTTTGGTATTTTCCGCTTTCGTTATTTACATTCTCCATCATATTTATTTTCTTTTTAAAAGTTTGATACGCGGTCGATTTCATCGTTGCATCGAATACATTATCATTAATTGTTAAGTGTTTTTACGTGACTCGATAATTATACGAAGAGTACATATTTCTGACGAGCAAACTAACGAATTCCTTTTTCTTCGGATGATTCACGGTGCATGGTCCAAGATCGTCTCGAATTCTTCACGCTCGATCGCTTCGATTCGTATCGCTACCAGCAACGAACCGTAGTCGAGATGTAAACGTCTTCACGGCAACTTGGTAACTGTGTTATTGGAAATTTCAATCCCACTCACTTCGATTCCTTCTTACCTCATATGTAACGTTTCCCTGTAATTCTGTCATCGTTCTGTCGTAACGTTCTAACCAACAATCTCTTATAAAACAATACACGATGAAAAGAATTCACGCGTTTGTACAAAAATAAACTGGTTGCATACATTTGTACGCTAATCTCTCTCTCTTAATAAACATGTACGATCGACATGAATGAATACCTGGCACAACAATTGTTCTACAAATTGATTCAAGTTCACATACTAGAGCGACTTCCATAAGTCAGGGAACAGGGTCAACTATGACGTACATTATACTGCCCAAGAATAATTAGAAGATCCTCTATCCAAATTAAGTAACCAACGTTTAAGAACCACCTCATACTACACTGATAACCAAATAAAAAGCTTCGCACAGCGTATATACTTCATTCAGATATTTCATTCACTTTTGCAATACCATTTGCAATCTCTTCCCAATATTAGCGTTCACTATAATACGCAAGATATCCCACGTAGATAAATGGAGTCGTAACTTCAAAGTAACAAAAGTTAGAAAAAAATTAAACGCTCGTGGGTGGTGTATGATCGTTTAATAATTTCAAAGTCATTTCTACTCTTTAAAAGTCAACTATATATACTTTTATACGTCGATATTACTAGTGTTTTCTTTATTCACTACACGGAAATACTAAGGTGCTTATAGTTGAGAATATTTGCTTTAAAGGATGCGTTAGCTTTAATTGTATCGCATTGAATTTATGAAAAATAAGCAAAACGAACGTATGTGTATTTTGCGTTCTTATAGTCGGCCTTATAATCTGAAGTTACAATTTGATTGAAACATTTTGCAGAATTCAATAGCGCTGTCCCGACTTTAAGTATTCAATCCTGGAATCCTTTCAAAAATGGAAAATCGTCTCGTGTGGACATAGTCGATTACAATTACTTTCCTAATCCCGCTGAAATCATCCAATGCGGCTCGCAACAGCTGCAAGAGCGGACGATTTCCAGCGGTGCGCGATGAGATGATCAGCGTCTCGCTCTGATTACGCGGGTAAGTGAGCGCGCTCGTTCGAGATCGCGATGATTTCGCCTGAGTTTCGCGACAGGCGAAAATCGTTCGACGCTTGTTATTCCAATGGGACACGCGATGCGCTCTACGAAAGTGAATCGAACCTGTTAACACAGATTTTCGCGTGGCTCGGACAGCTGCGTGGCGCACGTGCCTCGTTTTTAATGAAACGGAATCGTCGCGAGCGCCACGAATGTGGAAAGAGAAACGGGCATCCCGAAACGCGGCAACGGAGAATCACCTTGAGAGCTGGTTTCACTGCCAAGGTGGCAGTGCTCAAGAAACGGTTTCCACGCAGTTTTGGTCAGTTCTTTCTTTCTGGGATATCGAATGCGAGAATTGTGGTCGACGTTTTGTTCGGTCGAGGGATTTCGGGTAATTTAGGCTGCGTGTCAGAATGAATGCATTTGCAAGCGAGATGGTCTGTGGTGTGGAAAATATTTCCTTTCAGATCTTATTGTTAGTCATTGTTCGGTATAGAATAGGACTCTGGTTTGTTCGAGCTTCGTTCGTTGGAATAAAATTTGTTTCTTGAGTAAATGAACTGCCGCCAGATTGAATCCACTTGCCTAAACCCGACCTCTGTTATATGAATTTACTCGAATATCGTATAATTAACTATATTATAGGATTGTTCGAACGAGAAATCTCAGATAGTGGAGAGAATCAATGAATTCGAGGATGAGGACGAGGCATTATCGCGAACTTATTGTTTCTGCGACTTGAAATATATCCATTCGAGTTTCTACTCTAGTTAGTACAGTCATTTGACTCTAAGTCACTTGAATTCAAGTAATATGACCACTTTACGCGAGCTTTCAAATACCGTGAAAGCGGATCACATGAAAACGTTACGATGCTGCCAGAAGATTCTTAATGATTCAAACGGAAATGGAGAGACAAGTTGGAATAAAAATATATGTGAATCGAATGAAATTCGACAGTTGGATCGATAATAAAATATTACGCGTCATCGACAGTAAGTATTTATGCCCTCGCGTTGGTCATTTCGAATGCAACCTCTGTGATGGCACTTAAAGGTTACGAGGCCCTTGTCAAGGTTGAGGCCTTTGAAGTCGTAAAAAATAATGGCTCCTAGCATATTAATTCGTTCATGTCGGCCAATCGATATTATTACGCTATCCGTAATATCGATTCACGATAAATTCTTATTGTCACATGACAGATCGTAATTCATTGTAGCTAGATTGTTAATTCGCAGACATCGATAATTTACAGACTTTCTCGGTAGAAAATTGTCGCGCAAATTTTTATTCACCTGTAAGCCAGCCAACGATGAATACGCACGAAACTATTTAATCTTATACAAACATTTGCGTCACGCGATCTGTTTTTAAAACTATCATTACGCCGAAGTAAAACGCGTATTATTTATATATAGATAGAATGATCGCTAATAAGACTCAACGATGTTTCAGTAACAAAGTTTAGATTCGTAGAAAATTAATCTTTCAGAAGACAGTATTTATTCGATTTATCTTGGTAGAATAAATAATTACGCGTATAATTTATCGAAATTTCTCTAAAATTCAATTTCTTGAATTTAAATTTCAACAAATAAATTTATTCCTCTCTTCTGTCAGAAACGAACGATTTATGTTATATCCCGATTACGATAACTTCAACGTTAACGCATTGTCGACGATATTCTGTAAAATAAATTTTATCCAAATTTCCGCATTTTTTTGCAACACAAATCACGTCGAATAAAATGGAAGACGTTGACTCACGTCTCCCATTCTCAACGTTTACGAAAGTAGAAACGTCGAACCACGTCTCTCGTCAAGAATTTGTTAACAACGATTCACGATGACAATAGGAACATAAATAGAAACGGAATCTTGATCGGTACTCACCATTGCACGTAATGATCAAGCACAGCAGGACCAGCCAGATTGTCATTTTGGAGAACACGGAGGACGTCATCTCCGGCACCGCATTTATCACCGTGCGTCCTTGAAGGAGGATCGAAGCCCCGTGTTTCGCAGGAGCGATCGAGCGCGTCGTTATACACGTGTACTGTCGTCGAAGAGTATGGTCGCGTGCGATTTGTACCCGCACGACGATGACGCATGTAAAACCCCCTCCGTGTCACCGTTTTACGACCGTGTAAACCACTCTTCCGACGTAACAACGTCTTCGACTTCTACCCTACGCTTCTATCTTCTGCTCGATAAATCGTTCCTCCACCTTCCTTCAAATCGAACGAGATCTCGAGTTCTCGTAATTTGATTTCTTGCCGCTCTTCGACACTGACCGCCTAGATTTTCACGATTCAGCGATCTGCCACTAGAAGTCTTGCTTTCGTTCTCTCCTTAATCCTGTTGTCCTTCTCTAGATCGAAGAACGAAGGATTCTATTAACGTTGGAAAAATCGAAGATCAAAGAACTAAGGATCGACGTAGGAAAGGATGGAAGTTCGAACGAGGAAGTACTCTAACATTGGAAAAGATGGAAGAACGAAGGATTCCATCGACGTTGGAAAAGGGGATTCCTGGTAGGAACGCGGTCCAGGAAGAATCGATAGAGATCGCGTCGATAACCGGAAGGATGGCCGTTTGTACTCGTGAAAAGTACTTGACCTTCGTGGATCGCATGGAAGGAAACGGCGCCGAGAGCACTGGAGAAACCGGTGTAACTCGAGGTAGCTAGGAAATTTTTGTCGGGCTAACTGGCTGCTGAGGTTGGCTCGCTAATTTATGACGTAGTTCCGTTATTGCAACGTGACGTTGATTCGTACGCAGAAACCTCCAGCTGACCCCGAGATAACCGTGATTTATTGTTCCTAACGATTCGTGAATGGAAACGAACGTGACGTCGATACGACCATCTTTTACGCGGATCGTAAATCGTCCAGTCGAACTGTCGATCGTGCGACACGTTTCCCGAGGCTCGCAGTGGCTCTTTAACGAGTCTCTTTTTCCTTTTTTTCCTTTCGAAACGTATCGGTAAAATAATAGGAAATTAAATGTCGCAGCAATAATTTAAAATCGTGTCGTTATTGGTTGGATACGTTCTTAGAGTTTTCTCTTTCGAGGAATTATCTTGTGGTTACAGCTGGAAGAACGTTTCTATAAATAACGTACGTGCAATGTCGATTATTATTAGTGAAAATAATAACACACGAGATAATTGGCGTTGATCGGTTGAACTCTACCACGTGTATGATTTATGAAGGCAGGATGGTTTCAGAAGCATCGAAAAATTGCGTTGCAATGTACGATATATCGTAGAAAAACCGAGCGTGTTCAAAAAACTAGAACGACTGGAACGCTGCTCGCGGCGATCGTTTTAGATATCCAGCAACGTTGACTCATGTCTTAGACGAGGCAGGAATAAAAAACAACGTCTGAGTGTCGATCAATGAACGTCTACGATCGACGATCTATGCCAGGTCGAGAACGAGGTGAACGAACAGAGCGTTTCAAACTATTTATATCATAATCGTGTCGCGAAACCGAGAAAAATGGGTTCGTCGAAAAAGAGCGTTACTTTTCCTTGGAAAATCGAACGGCGATGATTCACGATCATTGTAAACGATGTTGAAATTTATAAATTAATCATACGCACGTCACTAGAAAGAAAAATCGTAGTAGTTGAAAAGAGATGGAGAATTGCACGCGGCTTAGTGCCTCGACCGATTACGCTTCCAATAAGTCAAAGTTACTCGAGCATGAAGTAACGCCGCGTCGTCGAGCATGTGTCGCGGCAATTACCATATAATGGGGCACAGGGAATCGCGAAATAATCGGCCCCCGCTGAAAATAAGGATTTAAGAAAGCGGCCAGGCCAGCCTAGCGATCGAGCGAGCGAACGAGCGAGCGCACCCGTATTTCCTTGAACTTTCCGCGAACGCGAGTAACGGAATCGGTCGGGTGATTCACCGAGCCTACGAAAATATCGAAACTCCGCCCGGAGCGAAACAACGAAAATTACGAGACGGCGGAACGAATTCGTCGCGATTTCCCGCGGGCCGCTTGTTGGCGCGCTCCTGATCACGCATCGTGTTCAGAAGCATCCTACGCAAATAGAAAGGCAAAAAGTCGGCGAATATTTCGAAAGTCAGACGAAAGAGCGTGTTCGTGTCGCGAATATATCGCTTTCCCTCCGAATTGTTCGGATTTCACACGAAAGAATCACACGAGATACACGCACTCTCTGATCGATCTCGATCGAGATCTTCCGTTTTGTCACTACGTTTCTCCCTTGCTCTCGTTCGAGGTTCACCAGTAGCGCGCCACCAATCCTTCTCGTACACCAAATTCACACGGGATCTACTCACTGTCACTCGATGGATACCCCTTCTTCCGAGAGAGTACCCTCACTGTGCCCGAATCACTCGTTCAAGAGTCCTCGACGTGGACGCACGGGTGAAACGCGTGTGGGGACCGGTCGATCGGTTCGCTCCAGACCTTCCCAATTCCGATCGCGCCACAGACAGTCTATATAGTCGCGTGCGTTTGTGTGCGTGCGGATAAGAGAAAGAAGGAGAAAGAGAAATAGAATTCCGATCGTTCTCGTCCAGTCTGCTTCGTGGCACCTGTGTGACTCACTATCCCGCGAAACGCTCGTACGTATTATCCTTGGCGCGAGTCGCGAT